AAATTTGTTTTGTACAGTAATTTTATTCTTGTTTATATGGGATCGCCGTAATTGGGGAAACCTGTGGCGAATTCCCTGGCTCTATATGTTGTATTTAAATAGCAGCCGAATCTTATTAAATTAAATTAAATTAAATTAAAACGTTTTGCGAAGCGTTTGTGGTTGAATTTTACCTTAAATTGAGGCTTATATTACATATAAAAACATACCTAACATATATTTATGTTGGGAAATTAATAATTTTGTAATTAAAAGTGATATTTTTAGGCGATTTTTCATTTGTAAGAATATTCTTAAAAAATTATCGTGTTACCATGACAACTACTTTAGAACTTCATGTTTGGAAAATACAATGGTTTTGTCAGCAAGGCGAGGGTTTCTGCATGCATGTATTTTCTAGTTATAATATCGATCCACTATAGTGTACATTACATGACGGAGGAGCGGAGTGAGAAAGAGAGACTTGTCAACTTCGGAAAATCTCGGTTCAAAACTGAACCGAAATTGCAAGATTTGCTTTAATTGTTTTCTGTCAGTGTTTATATGTATTGATCTAGCACAATGTAAATAACATGAGTTCCATTATAGTAATACAGAAAGATTGAAGGAAAACAATTAAAGCAAGTCTTCATTCTCGGTTCAGTTTTGAACCAAGATTTTCCGAAGTTGACAATTAAGTCTCTCTTTCTCGCTTCGCCCCTCCGTACTATGTCATGTAATGTACACTATAGTGAATCGATACTATATGACAATGAAAGAGAGACTTGGAGCAAGTCTTTGGTACGACAGGCTCATGCAGGGCAGGTATTTATATTGCACAAAAATTTTTGGCCGCCCTTTTTTCACAAAAATACCTGACCCCCCCCCCTCTTTCCACCAGCCTCCCCCGTAATTAATGACTGGTCCCTTAGGGCCTTTGTTTGGTCAGGTCAGCCGTTCTGCACGTTGTAAGCAATAATCTATTGGCATTGTAATGCCATTGCATGCAACAAAGTAATGGGTTGTAATGGTCTACAATCACAATAACACTAATCCGAATGTCAATCCAAACTCTAACCTTAAAGTTGATGACCTCTTTTTTGATGATTTCCCCACCCCTCCCATTTAGGGCCATTACATTTATAACTAAAACGTTTGTCTAATGCTTGTGGTAAACTGGTTTTGTCTTCAGTTACAACCCAATACTTTATTGCATACAATGGCATTACAACACCAATAGATTATTGCTTACAACATGCGGAATGGGTGGGTTGTGAAACAGAGAATTCAGCAAACGAAATTTTTGTATTTAGTTCCCCACAGGGGGCCTATCAATAATTATTAATTGAAAGTTGCTTAACATTTTTCGAATGGTTGCTCTGATCATGATTGGATTGAGATACTAATCTTGCCGGCTTTCTCAGTTTATGCAGATGATGGGTCAGTTTGGGTAACAAAAATCTATACTCTGCTACTTTAGTAATCTATACTCTGCTACTTTTTAAATTGATACCCAATAATAGGTAGATGCCTCCCTGTCCATGGGGAGTTTAAAATTTCTAGATGGTCCATGGAATAGAGTAAACCATAGTATTGTAATATATATGGTTTATATATAGCTAACATTAGAGCTGCTCCCATCGGTTAATTTTCATAATCGAGTAATCATTGTCAACAATCGATTAAGGTAATTCCACAGTAATTGTTCCCGAAATGAGAATGTGCTGAAACTTCCCAGGCATGGAGTTTATGATATACTTAATTAAAGTAAAATCACACAAAAAAGTCGGGGTCACCGAACTCGTTAAGAAGATATGACAATCACAATATACCACCTTTACCCCAATATGGCACCATCTTGACGCTATTAGAGTAACAGCAAAATTACAACAGCCCGATATTTACCAACATTTTTAGCGCGGATTTTGCTTTAGTAAACCTATCTTGTAATTATTTTGGAAAAAATATTGTGTTTTGAGCAAAATGAAACTACTAACGTGTACAATTCTGATCCACAAATGTCTTTTCCACATTTCTTTACATATCTTTCTTTGAGAACATGCATTAATAAAGCATTTTTTTTCAAGATCCAGAAATTATTTTTCTTTTAATTTCAGATATGAAATGTAAAATGCAATAAAGAACTAAATTATCAGTTAAAAAACGGGGGTCACCGACCTTTTTAGGGAATTGTGGCATTGAAATGTGAAATACAAGTAAATAAACATACTACAGACACAGGGAACCCTAGCTACACTTTTGTATGCCTTTTCTGAAAATATTGATTTTAACATCATTCTTTGCACGAATGTAACCAAAGATGTTTTGAAGTAACATAAAATTGTCATAAAATGATATTTTTTAAACGGTACGTATAATGGATGAAATTATACAGTAAGTTATAAGATGTACGCAGTAAAAGTGCGCAGTGCAAAACTGTGGAATTACCTTAATCGTATTGATAATTAATTTAAATATGACAAGCCCATGGTGGTTTGACAGGTTTGTAAATTGTAATTAAACTTTTTACTAAATTTTGGGGGGTTGCACCAGTCAGTATAAACGTAAACGTTTTAAATCTGCGTTTAAAATGAACGTTAATCACAGTTATAGATTGTGCTCTTTCTCACGCTCCTACACTTCACACAAGAGACATGCATGAAAAGACGATATTAAGGATGTTTACTTTAGTTGTTTACCTTTGATATGTCCTAAGTGAAATTGCGAGACTCAGACTTCTATGGATAATTGGTTTATGTCCACACCCCGCAATGTTGGACACAAATGGTAATAAATTCTTCTAATAAAAATTATTTTGTGGCACTGGTAAACCCGATCAGACTATGGTAAACTTTGCACGCTGCAAGTGGAACTGATATTTGATCCACAATGTTTCAATCACAATCTTGTCACAATTTTTTTAATCCAGAAAGAATTTAACTTATTCCCACATCAAGCTCTGAGCTGTAGGGTGTTACAGATGATCCAATTACTGTTAAGCGTAATTGATTGTGGAAAATTGATCGATTAATCGGGAGCAGCTCTAGCTTACATATTTTATGTACTATATTTATCTGTTTTATCCTTTAATAAATTATCTTGTAAATTTAGCTATTAAATAACTAACTACTAACCAGCATATGTGGTGTAAATATTGTACCCCCTCCTCCTGGGGGTTGGGTTAATATAATACGTTGTTACATGGTTATTTTGTAATTTTTATTCATACAACAACATCTCTAAAAGTAGTATATGGTAACTCATTGAGTGGTAGTATTTCGTCGCTTGGCGTAAGAACTACAACGTCTGTGAGCAGGCTACTCATTGAGTCAGTGGTGTAGCAAACTCGATAATTGGGGGGGCACATATTCATATATTCGTGTTCTGCCTTATTAATTTCTTTTGAAATCAATTGTTTTTAAGGTCAGTGAACACGAATATATGAATATGTGCCCCCCCAATTATCGAGTTTGCTACGCCACTGCATTGAGTGGCAGCACCCTCCTCTTGACAAGTAAAATTGTCTGGTGTTAAACAGTGAAATAATAAGTTTGGGTGAATCATTGCCACTTCAAGAGGTTAGTAGGTAAAATTGCCTCAAACCATTGTGTCACCAATTTAATATTTGTGTTTTAGTGTGGCTTGGACAACTCAAATATATTGTTTGGTTAAACTCTGTTTGAAAATATGTAACCTGCATCAAAGCAATGGCCAATTTCCATCTGTCAAGTAGAAAGAGGCGAGGACCACAACCTAGCAATCTTTCTGTTCGGTTGTTTCTGCTTGACCCAGATAAAAAGATCACAAAAGTTACAAGAGAAACATGTTCAAAGGGAGGGATAGAACATTTAATGCAGAAAGGATGTGGGCCACCACAACCAGGTAATTGAATGTGGAATTACTGTCATTCTCTGGTTATTAATTGTTTTATATTGGTTTCTATAATAGTCAGATAACTCATTTACATAAAATGTGTTGACAGCTATTTTGTTTCTATGTTGTTTTAGTCGACCTGGAGGTCAATGATTTACCCCCACTTAAATTATGCTAAAATATCCCATGATTGAAACTGAAAAATGAGAACTTTAGAGACAAGTTGATCATAAAAATTGTGCGCCAATTCACATAGTCACCACTCCCATTTAGATGAATCACGATGCTTAAATTAATATAGACGTAAGACCTATTAAATTGCACTGAGCCCTGTATTATTATGCCAGGTTATTTTACTCTGCCTTACACCAGACATTTTACTCATCAAAGGAAAGCACTGGCTTGTACATGTAATAGGTTAATTAGACTATCTACGCATGTGTATAGTTGACCCATTAAGTTGCACTGTGCCCTACTTTATTTTAGGGGAGAGTTCTGGTGCTCAATGGGCTAATAACAACCATTATTTTTAAATAGAACAGTATTTATTTGGTACGTATGCCTGGGTAATTTTTTGACTATTTTAATTAATAACTTCATATCTTTTGCAGAACATTGTGTAAGTGATGACAAAGTGGAATTTTTATTCGAGCTGACAAATGAACAGTTCAAACAGAAGTTGGTTGAAATTTATCCTAAATTGGAAAATGCTTGTTTTGTCTTCATGAAAGCTGACAAAAACAACAAATTGGAAGAACTAAACCGTGGTATGTGTTGCTTTCGATGTTACACACCAGAAAATGTTTACCACAGTGAACGAGGACAAGGGAGGCTTTATATACAAAAGATTGCTGAGAGTGAGGTATGTTGACTTATTATAAGTCTTGATTTGTAACCAGTCCGTCAACATAGGATTTTAATGATAGTGTCATGTTTGTGTAACCTTGTGTTAAAATATTAGCATGTGAGAAAAAATACTCTACAGGGGTTCTTCTCTTTGAATAGCCTGCGTGCAGGCCCAAGGGAACTTGATAGTGGGCCTGCAACCATCGCCCGGTATTTTGAAATACGCCCCTTTTCATAACACGCCCCATTCGCGCGTCAATTGTCAAAAAAGAACCAATGACAGCACCCAAATATTAACAAACAAACTCGCATTAAAATGTTGCGGGGTTTTCTCTGCTTATTCAGAACACTAATAAACAATGTGTAAATGGTTGCGATTTAACTCCAAAAAAGCAAGCAACGCAGTCAGTAATTGCCAAATTTGCAAGTGCTCATTTTCAACTAAAATCGGAACAGGCAAATTAGGACGAATTTCAACAGAAAACCAGTCTCAAACTTCAAATCATGAGGGAAGTCGTGCGACCACAGGATTTATATTATGTGTGCTTCGCTGTCGCCATTGGCATTGTTATAAATAAATTGTCTCACTCATCAGATCGTGTGTGCAATTCTTGTTGGCGGCGGAAAGTACGAAATTTATTTCATTTGGTAAAGAACTCTACAAAAGAAGAGAGCGTTCCGAGTCCAGATCGTTTCGTTTCAAACGGCAATTTAATACCGCCTTCTGTTTCGCTCTCTCAGCGAAGCCTTGTTAATCGCAAAGTGTTTCGAATAGGCTTACGGTCCTTACATGCAACTGTATCTCAACATCAACCAAAAGATAATTTTCTTGAGGAAGTGAGAACACATAACGTATCAACTGAAGTCTGTTTGAAATTAATGAAACTCAAGTAAAGGTTACTATAGTTTACCCCAGTCGTAATGTTGCTATTCCAACACCTCACGACAAGCAATCCCCATTGGCATAACGGCAAAAACATGTCTTCCTTCAAGTAAACAATAAACAGTCTGTTCTTGTTCCATTTGTAGTCGAAAAAAGTGATCAATTTTCAAATTTTAAGCTTATCGAGAGCCTTTGTCTATGCCTTTGTGATGAATCACTGTTCCCTTGTGCCTGCACAATGGGCTAGGTTAATTAATTACCGATCGCCTCAGCTAGCCAATGGGAATTTAGCCGGCGGTTCGGCCGGCGAAAATCGAAAACATGGGGTGATGGTTGCAGGCCCACTATCAAGTTCCCTTGGGCCTGCACGCAGGCTACTCTTTGAAGTGTTTGACATATTTTTCAGGTAGTTTCAATCAAAACTACATCATTTTATAACAGAGAAATACTATGGTATATTAAATGCCTATAAAAGAATTCCTATATTTTAGATATCCCAGTGTACCCATGGAGTATCTCTTGTTAAAAGATTGTGTGTTGTCCCTGGTCACAGCCAGCAACGTTTTGTACCAATTCAACCAAAACTATTACCAGCAGTCTGTCCAATTACAGGAATTGAATCAAGGCCATTGTTAGTGACGCCAGGTGCCATGCCAGCACTGGATTTGTCATCAACACCAACAGTTCTTAGTTCTGGTAATATACTACCACAAAGTCAACTTCTATCATCAGCTATTTTTCCCCAGACTGAATCAACGCCACCAGTGTACAGTACTGTTAACGTGGCAACACAAAGTCTGTTATCGTCAGCAGCGATTTCCCAGACTACGTCCAGCCAACCAGTAAATGTATTACTCAACAGTTCTGTTAATATAGTACCACAAGACCGGTACCAACAGACACTACCAGCTATTGTTACCCACACTACATCAAGCCAGCCAGTTCAAAGTTCTGGCAATATGGTAACTCAAAATCAGTTACAACCACCGTCAAATATGTTTTCCCAGAGTGTATCAAGATCAGCAGCTCAAATTCCTGTTAACATGGTACTCCCGAATCTGTTACCAACATCGACATCTTTCGTTCCCGGGCATATATCAACATCACTATTTGACAATTATGTTAATATGGTAACCCAGAATCAGCTGCCAGCACCGGTAACTGCTGTTTCTTGGACTGCACCAAGACCAGCTGCTCAAAATTTTGTTAATACGCTAGCACAAAATCAGGTACCAACTATTGTTTCTGCAACTGCACATACACCAACAATAAATCAGTTGCCTACATCAACATCTTTTGCTTTTGGAAATGCACTGACATCACCATTCCAAGATCGTCTTAATATGATGACTCGAAATCAGTTACATACATCAACTATTGATTCTGGGTCTATGGCACGCCAAGGACAGTTTTCTAGATCTATTGGGGTTTCTGACACAAATTTTGAGCAACTTGCATTTCGCACACCTGCCCCAGTTACTGCTTCTGAACAAGACATTGGGCAATTGGGAGCGACTTTTGAAGATCGAAGAGCGCCGCCGATGACTGGTACCGATGGAAATGTAGACATGAGTATGTTGTTGCAAGAATCTGTGACTGGATTTCAAATGACCAATGTCGTCAGTGGGTTGCACGATCCCAGCACGGCATCCAATTCAAGAATGACTTCACTTTCCAACCCTCCTGATTTTCCCGCATCCTCCAACAGGTGGATACAGTCTCCTGGTTTGGTTACTTTGGTAGATGCTATTGACACAGTACAACGTGGAGATTGGATACCTACCAATGCAAACATTTCAAACGACCAGGTATAGTTTGTTTACCGTATATTCCGGATAGGATTTATGTGGCTTGAACAACCATGAAAAGTCGTCCGCGGCAAAGTGTATAAACTGTTAGAGCATGTAAAAGAATATATTATTCTGTCTGTACAGTATACAGCTTGAAAATTGGGTCGTGTTATCGTGTAGTTGCTTGTTTCTCGGATAATGAATCAAGGCTCATATATTTGAAAGCTACAATATATAGTTTATAATTTCGTAATTACACGATTCATATCACAAACTTTAAAAGCTTACTTGGAGAAAACAAGGTTGTTATACTGTATCTCACATGTACTCTTTTTTGCAGGGAAACTTGGATTTACAAGTACCAGTAGAATGTAAGTTAGAGTTACTTGTCCAGAAGTCTACATTATCTGCAGACCTTCACAAAGCTGAGCTTCAGTAGTGAGGGTCAGCAGGTCGGTCAAGTTAGGCAAATGAAATCCTTCTATATTGAAAATACGAGAACCTTGTCATTGGGAGGTACCTGTCCAAACTGCCTGATTTTTCACACTATATATATATAAGCGGTGTTTAAGTATTTGTAAAAGTCTTAATTTTTAATATATTATTTTTGTAAACAAGTGAATATAAGAAATCCGACGTGGTGAATGGAAAATAGTCCAAAAAACACTAAAGACTTGTGTAAAAATACTAAAACAATTATACGCCTCAGACTCGATGATTATTGGGGAACATTCATCTCGACTGCGTCTCGGTGAATATTCCCCGATAATCACGTCGCGTTCGGCGAATAATTGTTAATTGTAATTAATATTTATATCACATACTGTATAAATCTCCCTCCCAAGCGGTTTAGCCTCATATTCCATTGTTCACTATTGTTTCGCCGCCATTGTGCGAATGCCCGGAAAATGTCGCTTTTAGAACCCTAAAAATCCCGAAAATGTACCTAAAAATGTACCTAAAAATGTACCTAAAAACATGCTTCAGTTGACCTGAATTATCTAGTAGTTGTTTACCTGAATTTTGCTCATACTGTAGTTAAATCAAGGCCGGATTTTGGTACAAATAGTGAGGGAGGTGGGAAAACATTTAGGAGAGATGCAGCAGTGTAGCTCACGACTCCCATGGAAAGTTATTTTACATATGTATCAGTGTATTAATGAATTATGACTGTATAACTCATTACAATTACTACAAAGTTTCTTTCTTAATATTGCATTGAAAGGATACTTGTAACTTGACACAGACTGAGATGAATTAGCTATCACTGTTTCAATTTTACAGAAAAACTTTCTTTCGAAATGTAGACCCTAACGTCCCTAAGCAATAAAAAAAATGTCAAATTTTCACTTTGATGTATCATTGAAACTTTCCCAAGGGGGGGGGGGGGGCATGACTTTCAAGGGAGGTGCAAAAATTCTCAGGGGAGGTGCAAAACGATCTCAGGGGGAGAGGTGCGCACCTCCCCACACCTTCCCTCGAAATCCGGCCATGAGTCAAATATTGGAGGTGTTGCAACTTGTTGCCTTCATTTCCTCCTGCTCCACTGTTTGCTAGGGCACTTACATGTATTTTTTTCTCTAGCACTTATTGACTCGTTTCTTGAAAATGTTAAATCAACAGGAAAACTAGAAATATCGTCGTTTATTCTTGATAACCGTGTTCTCATGGAGAAGCTGAATGCATCTACAATCAACATTCACACTGTAGAGATTGAATCAACGTGTAAGTTACACCAAGCTATAAAACAGTTTTCTTTGCCGTCATGTCTAACAGTCCTGCGCATTAATGACAATAACTTAAATTACAAGGATGTTTTTGCTTTACTTGCATCTCTTAGGAGCGTGAATGGCTTAGACGAGTTAGATTTATCTCGTACTAAGTTTCAAGAAATTAGCTTCAGTAGTTTTGTAAGTGTACTAATCAGTTGTACAAGTCTGAGAAAATTGTGTTTAGTTGATAACGGCTTAACTAAAGAAGATATGAACTGCTTAAATGACGCGTTTGAATCGCTAAAAAATCTTATAAATTTAAATCTATCTAAAAATAACCTGACAGAAACACAAGCAAATGACATATTGCAGAAAGTTGAAGGCAAGAGCATCGTTTCTTTAAATTTATCACAAAACGCATTACAGGGAAATGAAATCATCGTTGGGATTTGTCAACTCCAATCACTCCAAGAACTAAATCTTTCTTCTAACCACATCAGGTTTTTTCCATTACCTGACTTAGAGAAACAACGCGATCATTTACCAATTAACACCACAATCATTTCATTGTCTTCCAATCACATGACGGATAAAGATATTTGCCGTTTTGTCTCTTTGGTCAGATCTGATCTTCTGAAACTTAACTTGGATTTTAATCATGTTGGTAGTTCTATCTGGTCCCTGTGTTCACTAAGGGTTAAGCATTTGAAAGTGTTAAGTTTAGAAAATACTGATATTCGTGGTCCTGCTGTTCAGGGTTTAGCATTTCTTCTCTCCTTAGTAGGAGAACTTGAAGAACTGAATTTATCTTCCAATAATCTTGTGTTGGCAGATTTTCAAGAACTTCAGCCACCCTTATCAAACTTAACTCAGTTGAAGAGGTTGAATTTAAGCAACAATCCTTATGGAATTTCAGTTATTTTGCTTAAAATCATGCTTTCGCTGAAATATCTGGAGGAGTTAAGGCTAAGTAACGTGCATTTAAATGGTGACGATTTAAATGAAATATGTGACTCACTTGCATCCTTAAAGGTTCTAAAACATCTTGACCTAAGCATGAATACTATTGGTCCGGATGGAACAAGAGCACTTGCAAACATTCTGAAGGAGTTTCCGTTATTAGAAGGGCTAAACATGAGCAAATCGTGTATCAAGGAAGATGAAATAAGCGTATTGTGTAAGGGTTTAGTTTCCTCAAACAGATTGAAATATTTGAATTTGTCGGGCAATCGACTTGCTATTGAGGTCATACGTGATCCCGTGTTTTTACCCCCGATGTTAGAGGAGTTGATTTTCAGTAGGGTTATTCATGGCGGAAAACTTTTTTCCAATATAAGTCTTCTACAACATCTTCGAAAACTACATCTTAGTGAAATAAATTTAAGACCATGCGATGTTGAAGAGTTAACCGCCATGTTGTCGTCTTTTCCGTTGTTGGAAGAACTAGTTTTGGCTAAAACTGCTTGTACTGACTGTGAAAAAATCTTTAGTGCGATAAAGTCGTTGAAAAATATTAAAAAGATTGATCTAACTGGTATAAAAATATCTGACGGAAATGCATTTGCTGAGATGCTATCGTCCCTTTTGTCCTTGGAAGAATTAGTTTTAACTGATATTAGTTTTGCGTACACTGAATGTAACATAATCTTAAGTGCGATAAAGTCGCTGAAGAAACTTAAAACGATTGATCTAACTGGTATAAAAATAGCTGACGAAAATGCTATAGCTGAGATGCTATCGTCCCTTTTGTCATTGGAAGAGCTGGTTTTAGCTAACAGGAGATGTGTGTACAGGAATGATGAAATCTTTAGTAAAATAAAGTTGTTAAAAAATCTGAGAAAGCTTGACCTTGATTGTATACGTCCATGGGATATAGAAGCCTGCTTTGATATGTTGTCGTCTCTTTCATTTCTGGAAGACATAGTGTTTCCTCATGTTGATTTGGTGCATGCTGATGATATAACTGGATGTTTTAGTGCCTTGAAGTCATTTAGATATTTGAGAAACCTTAATCTACGTGTAACTTACAGCATGGCAGAATATTTTGCGAGAGTGGTGCCATCACTGCAGTTGCTGGAAAAGTTAGTGTTGGTTAATGTTGATAACGGTGATATTGATAATGAAAGTGAAAAACAACTGTTTGGCGCAATAGGAAAATTGACTTATTTAAAAGAATTAAAGTTAATGTGGTGTACCCAAGCTACCGCAGACAGTTTAGCTGAGGTCTTATTATCACTGCAGTTGTTGGAAAAGCTAGTGTTCAGCAATGATGGCTCCGGTGAAGATGATGACACTATGGATGATTTAAGTGGAAAACAACTGTTTGCTGCAGTAGGAAAATTGAAGTATTTAAAAGAATTCGAGTTACACGGGTATAAGATTGTGCAGGCTGACGCAGACAGTTTAGCTGAGGTCTTACCATCACTGCAGTTGTTGGAAAAGCTAGTGTTGCGTTATGTTGATTGTGCTGATATTGATGATGAAAGTGAAAAACAACTGTTTACTGCTGTAGGAAAATTGACTTATTTAAAAGAATTAGACTTTCTCTTGTATATGATTACCCAAGCTGGCGTAGACAGTTTAGCTGAGGTCTTACCATCACTGCAGTTGTTGGAAAAGCTAGTGTTGAACAATGATTATGGTGATGTTATGGATGATTTAAGTGGAAAACAACTGTTTGATGCAGTAGGAAAATTGACGTATTTAAAAAAATTAAAGTTAGGGGATTTTATGATAACCCAAGCTGACGCAGACACTTTAGATGAGGTCTTGCCATCACTGCAGTTGTTGGAAAAGCTAGTGTTTAGCCGTGTTGGTTTTGAAAGTGCAAAAGAACTGTTTGCTACAATAGGAAAATTGACGTATTTAAAAGAATTAAAGTTAGACTATTGTACGATTACCCAAGCTGACGCAGACAGTTTAGCTGAGGTCTTGCTGTCACTGCAGTTGTTGGAAAAGCTATCGTTAGTCTGTAATGACTTCACAAATATTAAAGACCACCAACTGTTTAGTGCTGTAGGATCATTAAGTTATTTGACTGGACTTTGTCTTTGCCATACTAAAATCACTAATGCTGGTGCAGAAATTTTAATTGATGTATTACCATCTTTACGCAACTTAACATACATTAAGTTAAATGGGATATGCGAACCATTGAAGAGTAGGCTTATGGCAGCGGTACTCCAGGTTCCCGGATTGGAAGTACGTTAATCTTAACCAACATTTCCACCCAAACTCGTGTACCCATTTCTTGCAGAGGATTGCCTTTGTATATATATTAGCTGTTTTTATATATTTACAATAGTACGCTAAGATAATATTAAAGTATAGAACATTTTTTGCCTAGAGGGTAACGCATATAATATGGATATAATGTGGTGAGAACACTTATGTGATCTTCATTGGACATGCAGCATTTTCAATATTTGCAAGTTGTGCATGACGCTTTTAAAGGATAGTTGTTTATTAGAATAACATTTTTACAGTAAGTCTTGTGTTTTAACAATGACATTTTGTTATTGGACGAAACGTATTAAAATAACGCATCCTTAAATGCATTTATAAAAGCGCTTTGGCAGGGGAGACTATATCCGATACTTTACTGAAATTATTGTACTAACTGAATTTGGGCGTCCATCCTCGGTAAATATGATGAATTTAATGAAATCAAAATGATAATCGAAGCTAACTGGAAGGCTTAACTTGGCTATACTGCTCAAATAATGCGCTGCTTGGGTGTGGCTTCATTTTGCATAATTTCCGTTTTTGAGGTATCATTTTGTATGATTTCCATTTGACGTCACATCTGCATTGCTCATTGCTTTGACAAGCACCACTTTGTTCCGCCAACCACCTCTCCAATGGTAAAAGGCAGCGTCTAAGTCTACTGCAATCTTCCACTGATTATTCATTTGATTCTGACTGAGTCCGTGGCTTGTTGCCAGGGTCACCTCTATCATGGCTGTTGCTCATTTTGCATATGCGTATTATCGTTTCTTATTTTGCGCACAATTTGCTCTAGTTGCTGCTAAAGTGGTTCTTACCCAACATGTGTACTCTATTATTGTGTATTACTCTATGGTGTTTAGGAGTCATTAGATTATTAGATAATCCGTTGTCAATACACAAGTACTCTTCTAAGGCACTCGTAATCATGCAGCATTATGATAAAGAGGAATATAATATATCTTGAATTTGTATGGTCAATACTGTATATTTACTTTGCTGTATTTCCATGTCAAGCCATAAAAATCTGTTTCATTCGCTACGGAAACCTTAGAATCACGTCAAAAACTCTTCACACTTATCCTAATCTTGCAATATATATGTCTGATGCCAACTCTTTCACATGTTCACAATTTTTAATAATAAAAATAATGATCATAAATAATTTTTAAAAAATAGATAAATAATAACAATAATGATAATTAGTATAAATTTTGCATATCAAATGAGCTTTCGCGCGTTCTGATTGGCTAGCTGACTAGTAAATCTGGGGCATTATTTACCACCTGGGTAGTAAATAATGCTTTTCAAAAAGAATGATTCGGCAAATTTGGTTTCAAAATCGACAAAATCATTGAAAATCGTCCCCAGAAAACGAAAGAAGCACAAAATGTTGTATTTAACTTGAAAGGTAGGATTCCTTTATTATTTTACTGTGTCAAACATATTCACGGACAATTTAAAACGTATTTTAATTTAAAACCGGACTTTTTGTTTTCAAACAAATAGCAAAAAGTATCTCGACTGTTCAATGGGAAAACCTTGCCGTGATAGTCTTTTAAATCCATTTGTATCCTATAGATTTCTCAATTTGTACGATACTATTTCTTTTGATATGTCATGTTTTCATTGTTCTGTGTGGCGTTCTGACCGCTGTATTGTGTTTTCGAAACTTGTAAAGTGAAAAGTAATGATTAGACCTTTATTTCGAACGATATAGTTTTACATTTCATTTTACCAACGAAAACAGTTTTATTTCTGAATTTTTATTGAACTGATATTTGGATATTTTGTTTTATTCATTAAAAATTTATACTAAAACAATTATTCGCCTCAGGCTTAATGATTACGGTGAATATTCACCTCGACTTCGTCTCGGTGAATATTCACCGGTAATCACTTCGCCTTCGGCGAATAATTGTGGATGGTATTATTAATAATAAAATTCATGGTAATAATAATTATGCAGGTAATCGAGGCAATAATATATTGATTTTACAATTACCTATCTTTAATTCTAAACTGCGATAACACACAAATATTCAGTAAAACACAGTGCGAAAATGAACAATAAAATAATATTAAAAATAATAATTGTAGATAATCGAGTAAAATGACAAATGGGATAGGTTTATGAAAATAATATTCAATGAGGATGCCAAAAGGTTCTTGGAATGAATTGTATAGCCGTAGATATCGAACATGCAATGGACGTAATATATCGTATAGAGCTGTGCGGTTCCAGAAATTTCATCTCTGTTCTGTTTTCCGTTTTTGTGAGGTGGAAGAACCTCGGTTTGGTGTCGGTATTTTGAAAGGAAGAACAATTCGAAGCATTTGCTCAATAAATTGTAATCTAAATTCAAAATAAACAAGTTATAGAAAACAAAAGCATCTTAATTTCTTTGATTTCCTTGAAAAATCCGAGTGTCCTCAGTCTCAAATTCCTCAGTATCATGAAATTTCCTTAAAAGGGAGAACGATGGATAGCAGCAACATTTGGGAAACCGAAACTGCCGGTTCTTTGCGCACGCTCTGTGCCGACTTACGGTGCTAAAAAAGTGCCAGAATGACTGAATCTTTTTGTTAACTTAACCGCACAGCTCTAATATCGTATATATTCAGATATCTAATTGACTTAATATTGACTTTATATACTCAATATTTTAACTGCCATTCCGAGTTAAGGCCCATTTCCACTGAGGAAAATTGTCTGCAGAGGGAAAATTTTGTGATTGGTCGACACAAATTTTTCGTTGGAAAAAAATTTTGAAGTTGAAAATTTTCAACTTTTAACAATGATATTTTGGGAAAATTTTCTGTCCGTGGAAATTTTTCTTGAGTGGAAATGGGCCTTTAGTACAGGGAGTTTGGCAAATACAACGGCGATGTCGTTGAAAACGTTTATTAGCAATAGCATTTTTACTCCAAGGACCAAGATGAAGGAAACGATAAATTGTTTATTCACATCATTTTCATCTCTCCAAACGACGTTGTCATTTACAATGTTGGAAGTCATTTTGTATGCTTTACTTGAATTGACTGATGCCAGCTACTCAACACTTGTTAAAACAAAAATAAATACTGTTGAAAGGCAAATCAATTTTTTTAGTGCATACTTTTTGCTCAAGTACAAAAATGTATTCATTCTTAATTGTGTCATCTGGTGCTGTTAGTTAACTTGCTCAACTCCCCAGTAGCGAACATAAGTAATGCTGAATATATATATAAATTTGATTCTGCTTTAATTTGATGAGAGATGATGACAGTTGCACAGTTACCGCTCAAACAAGACTAAAAGTCTCTAACTAAAAGTTAAAACTGTCATCAATTTATATTGACAAAATATTTATGTGTATCTAGTTATAGACAGAACGTTTTGTTACCAATATCGTTTAAAGAGGGTTTTCAAACGAAGCATAGATGTGGGTTATTTAGGGGTGGACCATTAGAGGTCCTGGGAGGGGTGAGGAAGGGGCGGTGGCTGATTCAAAACAAATCGTGCAAAGAATGGAATTTGAAAACAGTTTCATGTATGCAAGCATTTACCGGAAAACGCCTGCAAATACATGGAATATACAGTAATGAATAGAAAAAATTCAGAAAAAAACCTGAAAAATTCAGAAAAAAAACAGCTTCCACACCGTAAAATTGGTTTGACATAACTCCGTTTTGCAATGAAAATTTTCCCTCCCCTTCTTAGAGTATCTAATGGTCTACCCCTAAGCAAGTAGATCTTTGCAATTTTAAAATATATTTGCATTATGCCATATGTTCTAACAATTTATTATTACAATATCAATATTGTTTCTTTTAATTGTTATTAGTGTTATTATTGTAGCGGTGCATAGAAAAGTATAGTTTACGTTATTTGACATATACTAGTTTTTATATCTTGCTTTATTAAACCCTTCCATCAATAACGACGCCATCTGCAATCGTGATGCATTGTTGGAAAAATTCGGATTAAAAAGCTGTTTTTGTGGGTTGGTCTGTAGACTTTGTACCTATATAGATATGAAAAGGCTTTGTGATTGGTTGAGCATGAATAAGAGACGATAACCTTCAGGGGCTAGTTTTTCAAAGCTGCATGGGTTAGCGCTAACCCTGCTGTTTTAGTTTATGTATTTCTTCACGTCTGTTTATTTCAAAACTTCAGAGAAGAAAACTTTTACTGATTCAGACAAGATTTCGGAAGAAATATTCACAAATTTATTAAAACAAGCTTTTGGGAAGTTTGCAATTTGCGTTGAATTTTAGGTTAACCTAGTGTTGGGCTATATATATTCAGTTTTGAACAACTGGCCCCAGAAATCAAGTCTAAATATATAATGCACTGAAACACTGTTGTTTCAGGTTGTTGTTTCAGAAAACCAATCTCAAAATAGGTTCATATTATAGGTACTTACCGGTTTGTCCCACAAAGAAAGATTTCATAGATCTCATGCGCTAAATTAATTACATGAACACGTTCTTTTCAACGGTCTTATACCGCAAAGATTGAATAAAAATCATACAGAATTAATTTGCACGTAGTGCCAAATAAGATTAAGTAAATTAATCTTAACGGTTTCATCTATTTTCCCACAAATATTGCCTGTTATAATTTCACTGACCAAAAATCCCAAATTACTCATTAATTTTTTGACAGTATTTTCAAACTTTCATGCAGTTCCCATAATATCCGAGCACAACGCATCACGATTGTAAGAGTTGTCGATCTTGCTTGGGGGGGGGGGGCTTTTGTCACATGGACAAAATAATTGTAAAGTATTGGGTTTTATAATATTTACTGGTAGTAGACATCTTTTAGAAATAGTAGGTATTTGTTTTGACTATTGACTTTATATTCATCATTTCAATACTAGCTTAGCTTGTGTATCTTAGATTTCTAGCTAGCGCTGAATATCTATGTATATAAATGTGAAGCAGCGTAAAGAAATAGTGTTTTCTTAAGAATATAAATCTCAGTGTTAATATTCTAATATTCTGGAGTTCAATAAATGTTGTTCAAATGAAAAATGGAGTTCAATAATATTCTGTTATGTTAATATTCTGGAGTTCAATAAATGGAAATTAACAGATTTGTTTTAACTGGGTTTTTTTGTTCTCATTTCCAACAAAAGACCAAACTGTAGGATCGATTGATCAAAAATCTTACTGAACTTATTATACTCAGGACTATTCTTGCGTACTGAAGTTGTGCTTTATAATCTGTATATATGAATGAATGACAATAGTTAAACAGCTAAAAGAGCCTTGTAAAGAGCTTGACCGCATTTTCTGTTGCCTTTTGTTGAGTATATATTTCCCCAGACAATGTATTCGTTTGGTACTCCGCTTTAACCAACGTCTTAACATCGGTCGGAAATATAATTCCTCTGATGATCTAGAATGCTCTCAGAACAATAAAATGCAAAGGCCCTTGCGAATGGGCCTTCCCATGAGCCTTTGCATTTCCAGCTTGGATTTCCAGAGCTTGCATTTCCAGAATTTAACGCGGTGACCAGGCTGGTATGGTTCCTGTGATTGCTAACAATTATATAATGACTTTTATTATACACATAAGAAAATGCTAGGGTATGTTACGTTATGATTGAAATGATCGAAACTGACAGGCCTTCAAGCTATAGAATTGATCGCAGCAATAAGGCACGGCTAAATATTTCGCCGAATGTGCCGTTCTATTAATTAACCCTATATAAGAATTGCTATATAGCTATTATATAAAATTACAATCCTTTCGATTCATATTTTTATTAAATTTCTTAATTTACTGGAGAGGGCTCCTTGGAGTTGTAAAACTTTCCTCACTTTCCTTGGTTTTTGACATCTACTTTTTATGCATGGTACCATGCATCCTCAAAATATTTAGTACTTCCACATATTTTGCAAAGTATATATTATGTATATCATATTACCATTACAGTGCCACACGGGCAAATAAATTATTCATCATCAAATATTTGTTTTGATTACAAAGAAATGGAGGCTGTATCGAGATGGCTTTGTGGCTTCTATGCAGACAAAGTGACGATTCAACGCCACAGACGGACAGTAACTTGTGGAGATAAAGTACTACTTTGTAGTATCAAGTTAACCGACCCTAATTCAAATTTTACAAATTATCACGAGAATAAAATCACTGTTTTATACCACGGTAGAAATGCGGAAGCAGTTGGAGACTGTAAATTGTATATTACGAAAGTAAATTCTCGACAACTCGACGTTTTCTGCTATGCTCGTCGCGCTGGGAGAGCAACAGTGAAGGTAGATCTGGGGAAATGGTATCAAGTCGAAGGCGGTAAGCAAGATATCACTGTAAAGTAACCTAACTTTATATCTACTATATACTGGCTAGCTAATCAGATCTAAACTATTCTCCCCTGCAGAGGGCAACTGTGCAAATGAAGCCATTGTTATTCATACAAGCCTAATCTCGCGCAACGAGAGTTGCGTCACTGTATGCACAATTGCACACACGCTTTTATCGCGAGACTCGTGATTTTAATCAATCTCGCGAATATATACTTGTTTGAATCCAATCTCGCGCCCGATCGATTTCGAATCTTGAACAGAAATTAAAGAATGTCAAGCAAAAGATAAACTATCAATGGGTAAACAACTAATCTGATCATCTTGACTGACATTTTAACACGAGTGATCTACGAGTCTTATTAGTATAATCTGCTCTTTTATCTTCCGTTACAGATGAATGTCCGACTCGTTTCGAGTCCGTATTTTAAGAAATCAAAAGTAATGTTGTATTGCCTATTGGCCAAGTATCACTTTAGAATTATTTCATATATTGCATGACAGCGTATATAGTTTCCACAATAATTTTAAATATATAGTGAGTGAAAACATGGGCGATCTACTGAGTATTGTTGTGTACAATTTCAAAATGTGTTGATTTTTTTTTCAAAACTTCAACCCAAACAATTCAGTTTCTCATAAATATAGACTGCTTCTCGGCTTTGCCCCCATTTAATTAAACAAGTTCTCAATTATACGAGAGAAGTGTTTATATGTTATAAGAATAGTGAGATACTGTGTCGTATTGCAAACTGAAAGCGTGAGAACTGTTCAAAAATCGTGAACCGGTTAGCTCCCTACCTTTCGCAGCCAAGCTAAACACACACTGCATGCTGACTGCCCTTGGGTGCAACTGTTAAATCACAGGAGGGTAATATAATATATCGTTTGCAACGTTTAAAACTACAACAAAATATCGTGAAAATACAAGAGTAGGCGTAATAATTAATCTATGCCTGCAGCTTTTTTAATGCCCTCTAGTTTTTAAGGCCATGTTATACAGGATTCCGGGACATGCATAGGCGTACGGGACGGGAGAAAATTAGGGGCCGGGCGGAAAGAAATTTGCCCGACTTTTTCGGATTGTGCCCGACCAGTGCTGAAATTTTTTTTTTCCAGAACAATTAATTTTAGCGACTTCCCCCCCCCCCTTTCGGTTACTGTACCATTTTAGGGGTCCAAAAATTTTTCGGACATAACAAAATTTTTCGGAAGATCAAACAAATTTTCCCCAAAATCACAAAATTGACATAATTTCCCGCAAATATGTCCCATTTTATCTTATAATAACCCAATATTGCCCGACTGTTAAGCGAATATTGACAAACTGGCTTTGTTTGCCCAACAAACGGGGGTTATTATTAAGAGAGATTTTATTGCTTTGACTACTTTTTGCCCGACTTTTGCCCGACTTTTGTTGAACATTTGCCCGACTTTTCGGCTTTGTAATCTTTTTGGGGCGGGGGGGGGGGCAGCTGCCCCCCCCGTCCCGTACGCCTATGGGGACATATCAAAAAAGTAGTCACGTATAGAAATTGTGATCATATATGGCACCACATTCAAGGACACACATTGGAGTAGGGGATTTAGCCTCCCTCAAACCCCCCTCTCCCCTCGACAGCGTTCGAAAATCACAAAACGTCGGTCCAAGTTTTTATTGGGACTGTGTCCTTCCGATTTTCTGCTATAAGAGTTAGTACTTCAAACATAACATGGTTTTATTTCGGAAATTATATATAGTGTAGTGTGCAATAGCAAAATCAAAAAGAATGTAAAGTTAAAGATAATTTTAGCTGATGGTTCGTGCATGGCAGATTAATTTTTCTGACTTGTATTTTAATAATTTAACACTCCACCAGGGGCGAAACTAGCCCCTTTTAATTGGGGGGGGGGGGTATACTAGAATTGCCCTGCGAAAGCCGATGATGCCCTGCAGCAAAAATTTTTTTTGGCCACTTTTTCTCCCAAAATGGTTGGCGAGCGGGGGAGAGGTCGAAAAAATTTTTCCGGACATAAAGGGGGCGAAAAAATTTTTCCGGACATAAACCAATTAGATTAAAGGTTAAAAAATTCCTGTTAAAACATGCATGAAACCCTTATTTTTTACCAGTATCTGTAAAATTTAGGTCTCTATAAATTCTATTCAATTCCCTCTGGAAGCCCTGCGGAAGCTACTTAATAACTCTACATTCTATCATTTAAAATCTTTCATTGCCCTGCCAGTCCAGATGATTTGTACTTTGGGAATCCAGATGATTTGCCCTACCAATCCAGATGATTTGTACTTTTTTGGGGGGGTCCCCCCACCCCACACACACACACCCTCTCAAGTTTCGTCCCTGTACTCCACATCAAACGCCAGTCGTATTACGGCTCCTTAATTTAGGTTGCATCTCTGTTGTCTGTTTGACGTTTCAAAAATATCAATTGTAATGAACGTGATGTTAATTGTGTAATAATTATCTTGTATATAGATCAAGATCTAAACATTGACATAGTTCCATCCACGCCACATTATGTAAATGATGTCAGATTTACAACACATGGCGCAATTGATGAAAGTTTTTCTGCGGATCCTACAGTCATGTACAGGAACCAGTGGTCAATCTTAGAAGCGGAGATGGTTGATCGCTACAACAATGTTGTCTGTGAATTGAGTAATGACTACAACATTGGTTTACTGTTGTTCGACGATAAGGGAAAGGTGATAGAAATGGAATACAAAGATGTTGAATTTCAAAATAAAAGGCTTCGAGTACAAATGAAGATAAGTGAGGCTGGGAAATATCATCTAGCAATAATTCTGCTCAGTAGAAACAGTCACAATCAAGTAGTCCGTTTGCAAGAGATTCAAGTACAAGTCAATGACGCACCATTGTACCTGGCTGGATCAAAATTCCTTCATCCCAAAACTTGCGTGGCTGGCAAAGAGATTCAGTTAGAAGTCCTTCCATTTGACGTATTTGGTTGTCCCCTGTCTGCTAACTCGACTACTGATTGTAATCTCACCGAAGATATTCTAAATTTACCTTTAAAGCTGAGTGAGAATGAAGAAACCACGGACTTCAAAATAACCAAGCAAGACTCCAACGAGACACGTAGCATATTTGTGCAAAAACCGTCTTCCAAAACAGCGATCAAACAACATAAGAAAGTAAATATAAAAAAGATCAATACACCTGAAAATTTAAGTTTTACTGTCGCAGTTTGTTTTAAAATAGCTGGCCTTAGAAAGTTAAGACTGATCGTGCACTCTGGTTCTAAGTCAAGTTCTAAAGATATTTATGTTAAGGTTCTTTCCTCCACGCCACATTATGTAAATGATGTCAGATTTACAACACATGGCGCGATTGATGAAAGTTTTTCTGCGGATCCTACAGTCATGTACAGGAACCAGTGGTCAATCTTGGAGGCGGAGATGGTTGATTGCTACGACAATGTTGTCCGTGAACTGAGTAATGACTACAACATTGATTTACAGTTATGCAACAATGAAGGAAAGGAAATGGAATACAAAGATGTGGAATTTCGAAATGAAAGACTTCGAGTACAAGTGAAGATTAACGAGGCTGGGAAACATAATCTAGCAATAACTGTGACAAATAGGAACAACCACGATCAAGTAATCCGTTTGCAAGGGATTCAAATACAAGTCAACGACGCACCTTTGTACCTGGCCGGATCAAAATTCCTTCATCCCAAAACTTGCGTGGCTGGCAAAGAGATTCAGTTAGAAGTCCGTCCATTTGACGTATTTGGTTGTCCCTTGCCTGCTACCTCGACTACTGATTGTAATCTCACCGGAGATATTTCAAATTCACCTTTAAAGCTGGGTGAGAATAAAAAAACCACGGACTTCAAAATAACCAAGCAAGACTCCAACGAGACACATAGCATATTTGTGCAAGCACCTTCTTCCAAAACAGCGATCAAACAACATAGAAAGGAGCAAATAAATATCAAAAAGATCAATGCAACTGGAAATTTAAGTTTTGCTGTCACAGTTTGTTTTAAAATAGCTGGCCTTAGAAAGTTAAGACTGATCGTGCACTCTGGTTCTAAGTCAAGTTTTAAATACATTGATGTCAAAGTTCTTCCCTCCACTCCAGATCATTTTAGTGATGTCAAATTTACAACACATGGCGCAATTGATGAAAGTTTTTCTGCGGATCCTACAGTCGTGTACAGGAACCAGTGGTCAATCTTGGAGGCGGAGATGGTTGATTGCTACGACAATGTTGTCCGTGAACTGAGTAATGACTACAACATTGGTTTAAAGTTATCCGACGATAAGGGAAAAGAAATGGAATACAAAGATATGGAATTTCAAAATGAAAGACTTCGAGTACAAATGAAGATAAATGAGGCCGGAAAGCATACACTGTTAATAACTTTGACAAATAAGAGTAGTCAAGATCAAGAAGTAGTTCGTTTACAAGAGATTCAAATACAAGTCAACGACACACCATTGTACCTGGCTGGATCGAAATTCTTTCATCCCGTAACTTGCCTGGCTGGCAAAAAAATTCAGTTAGAAATTCGTCCACTTGATGTATTTGGTTGCGCCTTGCCTGCTGACTCGACTACTGATTGTAATCTCACTGGAGATTTTCTAAATTTAGCTTTGGAATTAAATGAGAATAAGGAAACCGTGAATTTCAGAAGATTAAAGAACGAATCCAATGTCGTAATTCGCGTTTCAATCGTCCTAACGAAAGCTGGTCGTAGAAAAGTGAGGATAATTGACAAGGATAATAAATCAAAAGAGCTAAGTATTCAAGTTAATCCTGATGTAAACGATGTGCACTGGGAGCTCACTGCTCCAAAAGAAACTGCTTATAGAAGAGAAAAATTAATCTTAGCAGTGCGCTTGTTTGATTGTTTTAATAATGAAGTACGAACTGATGCATTAGAAAATCTGATCCCGCAGCTTATAAAGAGGGATGGGCCTGATGGATTGCGTTTTACAGAAGAATTCAACAACAAAGTTGCAATTCATTGCTACTTCAAGCAAATAGGGAAATACGATCTTTGCTTAGCCGATCGAGATGGTACTTGTCTTGAGGGTACTTCGTTCTTAATCACTGTACAGGATGCTCCTTTAGATTATCACAATTCAACCATTGAATGGATACCTCAATATGATGATCTTCCAGATCAACCTGTGTTCCCCGAAGACGAAACATTTCAATGTTGCCTGAGACTGAAAGACGTAGTTGGTTATGATTATGACACAAAAATAGCAAAGGGTTGTATTAAAGTGAAATATGGTAATACCGAGATGAAAAACATAAAGGTCTCTTCTTGTCCAAACGATGTTGCTTCCTACAATATTGTTGTTCCATCGAAGAATCTTGTGAAAGATGATGCAAACCCGAGATTTTGGTGCTTCGTAAATGGCAGGAAAATTGAACAACCCTTGATTCTGCCAACATTTGAAGGATTTGAGAAGTATGATGATGATAGTAACTGTGTTATAGAGCATAGAAGATACGAATTTGTAAGGATTGTTTGCTATGGTGTTACGAGAAACGACATTATTGGAAGTGATTATGCTCACTTGAATAATATCAAGAGAGTTTGCGAATTGTATGACGATCCCGAAGTTGAGACTTGTCAAGACGAGGATATTGATGATGATTTTGTAGAGTATGGTGATGATGAGCCAATCGGCGCAGAAGGAGGTGGTAATGATGATTATAACTATGATTATGATGCTGATGATTATGATAATTATGATAATGATGATGATTATGGTGATGATGATGACCCCACTATAATTATTGAACTTCCACTTGAAGAAATCGTATACGATACAGAGTCATGGGACTGGATAGTTATATGTACACTTGAGGAAATAGAACACAAGATACAGGATTGTCGGAATATTTTGCTGCATCTTCTCAGGGCTATCTTTTATCGCAAAGAGGCATTCGAACTAGACAAGGACAGAGAAGATTGGAAAGAGAGAGCAAGTAAAAATTACAGAAAAATCGAAAAAGGAGAAGATATTAACAAAAATCTTCCTCGGTTTTGCAGCCAAATCAAAGAAAAGTACGCCAGACTTATGAGAAGATATCACGATGCTGCATGCGACGAGTTTTTTCAGTTTTTTAATGCTAAACGTGATCAGAGTGAGATTGATCTTCATGGATTGTTGGTTGTGGATGAAAAGAAGCTCCGGGATTATGAGCGACAACTTCGTTCCAGAGGTCGCATGAGTTTGGACCAAGTGGAAAGAAAAATCGAAGAAGAACGCGATCATGGTAATGAGGCTATAAGGTATTGTACATTTACTCTCTTAGTCTCTATTTATACCGCAGAGGTGTATGCACGGCGATGAGCTTCGAAACATTTGACATGGTTTCTTGTAGGTTTGATGGCAATAATTATATTTTATTATTATTATCTTCATATTTGTCCAGGATACCCACATCACCAAAGTATTTTTCAGTGGGGTCCTGCAAATCTAAATTACATTAATTGAAGATTTAGCCATGCACTATTTACAGCTAGCAGCAACACATATATACAATATAATTATTGAAAAGTATTAATAAAGCCTCATTTCCAATCGAAACGAAGCACAACGCACTTCTTTGTTTCAAAGACATTAATGCAATTAATATTTAATTTGATTTTGTGGAAAACGCCCATTATTTACAAAGTTTTCGGTCCGTAAACCTGAGTAAATAGTCTGCCCTAGCCTTGTATTACGATGTGTACGATACTTCGTATTTGTCTCTTCCGTCCAAGGATTGAAGTATAGTCGAAAATAGTCTAGAGAGAGCTCTTTCAAATTCTAGGAGATTCATGACATCTTACTTGGCCCAAACCTGGATCCCGTCTCCAGCTGCATAGAGTCTCCTTCATGTGGGAACCAGGTGGGAATTTGCGCCTCCCCTCTGCCCCTCACAGCAGCTCTGTTAGTAGAAACTCTTTTTACTATTCAACCATAGGAAATTGCGAGAAAGACTGGATAATTATGACAAGGAAAAAGCCAAAGAAGAGGGTGAGCCATGGCTTGAGATCATCGTTGGTTCTGGTCATCACTCTAAAGTACGGCAAAACTCTAAAGTACGACAAAGAATCCGACCAAAGGTGGAAGAATACTTGAAGAAAAGGAAAAAAACGAGGAAATTTTCTCCTGTTAACAAAGGAGCTTTGGTGGTCACATTTGAAAAGTATACTGGAAGTGAGCCATGTTTTGGAGAGTATTATTGCACCAAATGTGACAACAGATGGCGAAATGGTCGAAGTTGGATTGGCAAGTGGCAAGCTTGTTACGACTGCTACGAAGAGGAGGGATTACTCGAGAAATGTTACCCACTCAAGCAACGCTGTAGAAGAAAACGGCAGAGTTACAATCCCAATATTGTTTCAAGAAACCAACGGCCATTTCCCGAACACCTTGAAAAACTTTGTGAAAAGTGCATTGAACTTGGAAGGCCATGTCCACGAGCGTGATGATTTCACCATTTACGTGTAAGGGAGAAGAAATTTCTCCAGGAAGAGAAAGAACTCTATGATTTTAAGGATATCGGTTAGATTTAATGTATTGATTAAGGTTAGGATGGATTATATCAGGACATAGGTCAGGTTTAAACCATTAGAATGAGTTATTAATGCATGAATAAATTAGCCAACTATATTACTTTATTCTGCTCACATGATGAGACTGAATATATCTGGTGAAGTATATTGATCTTGTCGAAGCCTACGGGTAACAACTTGCAACAAGCCTGATTTTCTCAACTTGCATCAACATTGATGCGTTCATCAGACTTGCTGCAAGTTGTTTCAAAACTTGATATCCACAGACTTAATGCAAGTTGATGAAACGTCTCCAAATGACAACTTGCAGCGAGCCTGATTTTTTCAACTTGCATCAGCATTGATGCGTTCATCAGACTTGCTGCAAGTTGTTCTATTAGGCTTGATGCAAGTTGACATTTGCAGACTTGATGCAACTTGTTTAATCAACTTGCACCACGCAGGCTAGTCAACATGCAGCAAGCCTTGATTTCAACAGGCTTGCTGCAAGTTGATGACGCGTTAGCAGCTTGTTGACAACTTGCAGCAAGCTGGTAAAATCCACAACTTGCAGCAAGTCTGTGGCGACTATGCGGATTTTACCAGATATCCAGTCCGCACAATTAGTTCAATCCGATCCGATGCGATGCCTATTCTTGCGTTTAAAACTTGTGCTCTACAATTGCCTGCCAAATAAAAAGGTCCATACAACTATGTGACTTCAGCCCAGACCTAGGCTTCCTCAGCTATTTTTATTTGCAGCGCTCTTTTCACACGAGAGCTATCCCAAAATAGACCATGCGAAAGTCAGCCGGTAAAGGTCCTGGTCATTGCGCAGAATTCACATCAAAAGTGATATATAGTTCTAGGAAAATTAAGGAATTTCAGAACTCAAACCTGAACTCGTGCCATGGTCTATTTCTGACCAATGAGAATCAATATTACACGGAAAAAGGAAACATTTCTGCACTTCTCAATTCCGGCATTCCGGTCTGGCCTCCTAACCCGCAAGGGCCAAGCGCCTGTTTTGCAAGGCTGCGAGAGGAGGGTTTAATTTGTACAAATATTAATTAATTAAAGATTTAAAGGATCAAATTATGGCAAATAGCGATACGATTGAGTCGTATGATAATGCTGCAAGTGTCGGTAAAAACGAAGGCAGTATAAACACGGATAAAGACGAAACAAAGCAGCAAGAAGGAAGCAAAATGAAAACGGACGAAATCAACTTGACAGTTGACAACGAAGACGGGTCAGAATCCGAAAGAAGGTAGTTTTGAGTTTAATATGATGATTTGAATCGCAACATTTGAAGTGAGTTGTACTGGTATATTAACTAGATAAAGAGTTCTTATCTAATTTGAAGGGTTGAACAACATTTCAAGGTAGCAATTGCATTTCGCACTTCCGGACTTTTTCCGCTCAATCTTCGTATTGATACCCCCTACAGTCTGTAGACAACGTTCTCAAAAGGATATAAAAAACATTGAATACAGAATACCGAATATCATAAACAAAGATTGCATTCTATCATTCTATTAAGCTATACGCCAGACGTATATGCTAAAGGAGACGACTAATACTAAGATACTCTAGCATATTTACAAAATGATCAGAATATACAGGCTATAAACCATAACTTTGTTCCTGGTTCAATTTCCTGGTTATTTTAATTAACCTTGTTCTTGCCATAGCCAGATTAATTTGACCAGGACTTCCTTATTGTTTAATTATAACCAGGCTATGTTAGGTGGATAAATAACTAAATAACCAGCTACACGTGTAAAAACGCACAAGTTGTTACAGACTTGCAGGTCTGCAAACAAGTTGTTACAAATCTGTTCACAAGCTGTCAACAAGTTGTGTTCGCACTGCTTGTTCCCAGTTGTTGTAACAAGTTTGGAACAAGCTGTTAACAACTTGTAACAAGCTTGATGGCATAATATTATCTGACTTGTCACAAGGTTGTTCTAATAAGTCTGATACAGTCATGATATAACAAGAATGTTACAAGGTTGACCAGACAAGGTTGTAACAATATTGTTATATCATGACTGCATTGGACTTGTTGGAATAACCTTGCAACAAGTTTGATAAGGTTAGCACTTTTTTCCATCCAGCAAACCGCCTTATTGATTTTCTAAAGTCGGTTTTTTAAAAATTTGTTTAAATTAGGTTAGGGTAGGGTTTGGGTTAGTTACATACTAGACATTTAACTCCTCTTCTATCTTCCGAAAATGACGCCAGGTCAGTTTGCTGATGGAAAATAGTGCTAACCATCTGATAATATCAACAAACTGGCAGCTTGTTGGCAGACTTGCTACAAGATGTGAGATATTAAGCAAAAATATGCAAAAATCTCACATCTTGTGGCAAGTCTAGCTTCCCATCTAGAATAGTCTGGTTATTTCCTGGTTAGATTAACCTAACTATGGTAGGATGTGAGTCCAGATAAAATTACAAAGAAATTGCACCAGGAATAATAAGTTAACCTAAACTGTGTTATTTCCCTAAGGTTAATAATATACACACTAATGAAAAAATTTCTCAGTTTTGATTGGCTAAGAGCTGTACAATTTTTTCAAAATACAGTCCCAGAAATGAAATACAGTCAGATACAGCCATTTCTAACAGAAAATAATACAAAAAACCAAACATTTACAAGTGACAAAAATGGCTGGCATTTTTAGTAGATTTTCTATTAAAATTATTTATATTAAAATTAACTATTTAAAAGAATAGGGCATTTAGTTAATAGGCAGATTAGTAATGTCCAACCATCCTGGATCACTAAGAATATATTTCTTTAAATATCTGTTCCTTTGTGGTCTTTATTGAATACTACAAAAGTTGCCAGCAGCTGTTTACCTTAGTGGTTGTATGTGCTTTGATATTTTTTGTTGAAAACAGTTTGTATATGACAAATAATTCCAGCTGCATGTTCTTTAACAGCACACATACATGAAAATAGGGGTTGAAATTTTAATAATTTATAATCGCCCATGTGGCGGCTACCACTCACTCACTCTGCATAAGATCATTAAGATGTGGTTGCCAAATTTAATATCAGGTAGCCCTAAATCAATGTGTTATGTAGTATTCTCTTTGTATATAGAAAACATAAACAGTTGTTTAAGTTGGCAAATTTTATGCAAATTAAAGCAAAATGGAATAAATGCTTGATTTATAACGAGACATTCAAGGCTTTAGAATAACATTTAATTTGGAATAACAGTTTTTTTCTCAATTGCCATGAGGGCTAGATGACAAATATTGTTGCATTGGTGACCTCAGGTGGTACCCGCTCATGTCAACCCCTGATGGCCTGTTTTGATTGGCTATTATAGCCTGTCATGAGAATTATAACTGCAGAAAAGATACCATAATTTGACTTTAAACACAAATAGATGTGGATTACTACAAGACCGCGTAAGGCTGCAGGAAAAACTACACAGTCACAGATTTCAAATGATAATCATTTCTCTGGTTGCTCTGGATTTTCTCATCGTGTTGGTTCAGTTATTGATGGACATTCAAGTTCTCAAAGGAGGTCGGGATAAAAGTTTTGTAAAATTATCTTTTTACTATAAATTTCTCCATCCACATCATAATTTCAAGTAGTTGTCAAATTTTATTTAATTCTTTGAGGTTTAATATTTTATTATCTCAGCAATGTTTCAGACGGTTTTATCATGAGGCAGTTGCATCCCCCCCCCCACTCCACTCCGCCTCACATTTATGGAAAATAGATGATTTGTTGGAAATTTTAACCTGAAAAAATTGGTTAAAACATCCAGTTACCAACCAAGCACTAGTTACCATAATTTCTGTGCTTGGGGCAACGCCTTCTTCTAAAAGTGCCTAAATCTTCCATGACAACATTGGCATTTCCGCTTGACAACATTTGAATTTGCATGCCCTTGCCCCCTTGGTAACTTGTGCGTTTCAACGATCAAACTGCGCGGTAAAACTTCCTGTCTCTAAGCTCAACTGCAAATCGCAATATGCATTTCAAATTAATTGCTCTCTTAGTCAGTCGAAGTGTTTTTGAAGTGTGAAGTTTGAATATGAAATGAGAAAAAAATGGACTTAAACCGCATCATCCCTTAAATCACCGAGTTGATGTACCAATGAACTTCGAACTTCTGAAATGCTTTTTTAAGTTGGACATCAACAAGAGAAAAATATAAACATGACACAATTCTGACACATGTATTTCATTAGAGTTTTAATTAATATTTTCAGAAAAAAAGCATACTATTCAACGTTACATTTGACCTTTCATGAAATTTTTTGGTTCCCAGTTTTTCAAAAGCCCATGTTTTTCTTTCTAAGCATATAAAAAAGGGGAAAAACAACTTTTAAACATCTGTAGGAAAGGGAAATATGTATTTCATTTTAGTTTAAAAGCTGAAACAGCATTTTAAACATACTTTTATATGCAAACATTTTTGAAGGAAAGCACTTTTGCTTTTTCATGTTCCAACATTTTTTCGAAGTTTTCAAAGAAAAAAATCATTCAGATTAATGCTGTACAAAAGTGTGGAGGGGAAATATTCAGGATTTTTGTCACTCGTGTCATATAAACAACAAATATCAAACATGTTTGATATTTTCTATCATTCGTGTGTGGCGAACAGCTCAGCGCAACTTTTGGCAGCAAAGAAGTGCGCATGTTGTTTTGGGGAATATCACACATACGCACTTATCACACATACGCACCCTGCGAAAACTTGGGACGAGGTGTGTGGCGCACATTAACGACATTAATTTAATTTACAATTTTTAGTGGATCATGATCATGTTGGTATTGAAGTTCTTCATTATATGAGTATTGTTATTTTGGGCCTGTTTTTGGTTGAGGTGGGTAGCTATAAATGGGGGAATTTACCAGGGGTTTCCCCGTCATAACGATCTGTTTGTTCCCTCACCCCCTTTCCCCCTCTTTCAATTCAAACTTAAGTTTTGCATCTAATTGTTGAGTTTCAAAGTCATTGTCAAATATAAAAATTGAAATATCACCGCATACCGCATATAGATGCTTTATAATTGAAAACATAATCTGGCAGTGATAATAAGGACAGTATACTTTTCTTATATACCACAAGATTTTGAGCTGTTAACAGTGAAATAATTTTCTTCAACTTCATTCCTTAAAGATCGTGGTGAAATTGTATGCCTTTGGACTGGATTTTTTTCATCATAAATTGGAAGTAAGTTAATAAATAATGAGCTTTACATTCGATAGTATTTCACAGATTAGGGCACGTTGTAGTCTTATGACTTATCTATAATGCTGAATTATAGTGAGAGTGTCATGATTACTTACAAACACTACAATGTGTTACACTACAATATACCCGATCTCGGCTCGGGACCGCTATAGGGTGTTTTTTGTTTTGTTTTTGTTTTTTTATAGTTTTTCTATTATTTAACTTTCTATTATATTAACTTTAAATAGTTTATTATTATTATTAACGTTTTCTTTGGGTTAGCAATATATATATTCTGCTGACCCCAGCTAATAATCCTCATACTGAGGGGTGTGCTGTATTGGAAGATATGGGAAAGTTAATATTTTACAATAGATAGCACCATACCAATACAGCCATTTGCAGTTGCATTGGGCGTACAGATGAGTAAAGTTTGAGAGAAGTTTGAGAACATCCAGTTTGACTTAATTTAATTAAAGAATCTATCGAAATTTCAAATTCTCGATCTGTCCATTTTGATACTAAATTACTGATAATTCAAATCTCTCTCAAAATTTGCAAAGATAGAACGCAGTCATGGCTCCTAGCTTGTTTAGTGGTTAGATTAGTCAGTTTACGAGCGGGTGGAGTTGTTCCTTGAACAGTGGGCCGAGTTGGTTAGTGGGCCGAGTTGACTGTAAACCATATTCTGTAGCTTAGGACGAAAAGTAATATCTGCGTATTTGTGATTTAGGTTTTTGATGCTATTGTTGTGATTGTGTCTTTTGCCTTGGACATAGCATACAGGTATGAAAATTGAAGTTGCATAATTACTGTAATGGTTTTTGGCGAGCCAGCTTTCTTGTGTAAAATCAGCTCAGCAAAGCCTGCCGAAGTCAAAGCGAGCTAACTTGGGTACCCAGGCTGGCTCGCCACCATATAAACAGCTCTTAATAGAAACATCTCTCAAATGAGGACATCTCTTTCTAAGGCAGTCGTGACCTGAGCTTACTGGTTGATGTTTTGTGCCATTCTACATTGCAATTAATTAATATTTCATCCACAGTGGCAATATGGACGCCTGGGATGCTGTCGGTCTGTTGGTTCTCCTCAGACTTTGGAGAGTTGTGAGAATTGTTAACGGTATGTTTTGCTGCGATGTCCAGTGCAAGTTATGAATTTTGGCAAAGTATATTTGATTATATTTTTTTGCAATTTAAGGAATCGTTTTATCTGTGAAAATTGAAATGGACGAGAAAATGCACCATTTAAAAGGGGAGATCACTGAACTACAAACACAACTGGAGCAGTATAAAAACAGATGTAAAGAACAAGAGGTAATGGTTGATACTGAGAGATATAACTTCTCTATTCGTGTATTAAGTCTTTGGGTGACCATGAGAAACTTTGCTAAGACCATGGCAAACGTGTTTTTTTTGTGTGTTTTTGGGTTTGGTTATTTTGGGGGTTATTGGTTGCTTCTAAAACGTTAACGATTTCCAGTCAAACCTGAACTTTTGAAACTCGAAAATGAAAAGAAACGGCATGCCAAATGGTAGCTCGCAAATTGTAGTTTTTAATGTACAAGTCAGACTGGTCAGTATATATATTAACTAGAAATACATGCATGCAGCAACCACACGTACGTACCCTTCGCCTTTATTTTCCAAACTTTGTTTCAACATGAGGTACAGACTGTACAGTATCTTGCAAACAGTAGTATTTACTTGAATTGTTTTCTTTCTTAGGGTAAAATCACAGAACTGGAACTTAGTAAAACGTGAAGTTGAATTGAAAATTGGAATTGACAAATTATCATACTGCACTACATATTATTATAGAGCAAGAATTTCGAGAAAAGGTTAAGCCTATATTAACTTCCAAACGCATTCAGACCAAAGCCAAAGGAAAAGGTTTTGTCATTTTTTCAGTCAGGTAATATCTTGGGAAAAATTCGTAGACTTAATTTCTAAATATTTGCACACTTAGGAAATATCATACCTCAACAAACATATTGTTCTAGGGGGACGGGCTAGATATGAAATCAGCAAAAATAGCATGGAAACTAGCAATATTTCGGCTGTAATACATTTTGATTGGCTCGCTACTGTTTCGCAACTGTAAGATGGTTTTGGAAACGCCTTTTGATGGTTTTGATGAGCTGGAATATTTATTGCATTTTTGCTGATATAATTGGTTAGCTAATAACTATTGACCCTATATCATTGTAAAGAACATTTAACGTGTAATAACTGTGGTTAATCGTGTGACATTCAAACGATCTATTACGATCAGGATACGTGACACCGAGCCGCGATTTTCCGAGGGCCAGACTAATCACAACTCACTAATTACAATAAAATTAATTAAAAAAAATAAAATTATAATTATTTCCCATAGTAACGGGAAGTAATTCAAATTATTTCTGAAATAGTATGGATTTCATTGAATTAATAGCTCTCCTCATCACGTGTACGTCCTAAAGAGCAAAGGCTAAAACTCCGATCAAACGCATAATTGTTACAGGGCCAGCCAGGGGTATTTCAAGCTCTAGATTAACAAAATGTGAAAATATAGATTTGACGAGTGTTCCAGTTATGTATTAATATAAATAGAAAACATGGTAGTGTTGGGACTTGGGAAATAATTAAGAACAGCTATTGAGATTTGAGTGTTGTAGATTTGTAGTATTGATTTGATGCACTCTCGTAGTCCTCGTTTTAATAATACGACCTACGTGCTCTAGCTTTGTGTGAATTTTTAGCAATCCCACGTACAATAATGAGATTCTGATGAGATCTTTTTGTTTTAAATAATAACAATAACTTTATTCAAATGTTTGTTTTAAGAATGCGTGCACTGAAGTTAACCGAAGCATGACGAAATATTGGTCTGTTTAATTAATAAATCACAAGCTGGGCAGAACTATAACGGAAATTCAAAACAAAGACCTTTGTATAAGGTCTTGAGGTGGAAGTCCCCAGTCGACATTGTTTTCCTGCCTGGAGTCTGTTCCATGTATTAATTGTGAAAAGCAGGCTTGACAATTATTCTTATTATTGCAATATGACCCTTCAGCGTAGCCGCAAAGATCAAATATGAAATCCTATGCAAATTTTTTGTGGTTCGTCCGTGCAATTTTGAGATTTGAATCGTGTGAATAATAGTGATCTCACAGACCGTACGCAAGTCAATAATGGGTGAGAAAAGTGCAATATGTATGGAGTCAGAAAGGTTGGATGGTGTGGGCGAGATTACTGGAACTGATAAGATCAAGTCCAAATTACATAGCGGATTGAATTTGGTACGGAACAAATTGAAATCAAGAGTCAGGTTAGCTTAAATTTCACTCGTGTTCTTCACATAACATTTTGCCATAACAGCCCTGGCCATTTTCATTCTGGTAAGCATTTTACTCATAAACTGTCAAAGCAGGTTTGCCTTTTGAGTTTTGGTGGCGCAGTCTTTCTGTGACGGGGCCTTATAAAATGACTGCAAAGTTTTATGGCTACGTGTATCTTGTGCAATTGTGGGTTGATTCGAGTGCCTTGTCAACAACACCATAAACATAGTGCCTATAGTGGCATGTCAAATTGTCCACTCCTTGGCAAGGCAATAATAGCAGGGGATATATGTATCAGGCTACAATAACTAATTTGTAGCCTTCGTGTGTGAATTTTATACATTTATTAGACAGGAACAGTTGTGAAAAATGCAACTCGATTAATTCCAGCCACGAGGGCCTATGGCCCTATGGTAATTTTCATAACTCTTCCTGGTTAGGATTATAAAAAAAATAATATATAAATTCTAAAATTTGCGTTTGAATATTCCGTCAACTAAAAACCCATCTACTAGTATTAGTTATATCGAACAAGATACCTCATTATTGAAGGGCTTCATTACTAGCTGTTGTGGGCATGATTAGCCTTACTATAGCCAGTTGTGCCAAAAAGGTTAGGTATGAACAAAATAACATTCTGTAGCCAAAACATGTATCACTGATTTTATTTTTTTCATCCAACAAAATCACACAAAATATCAATCTTTCATGTATGTAAGCATTAGTGTTGCCATTAGTTGGTAGCACAATAACTGGCTGACAACCTGTCATTTCTATTTATAGATTGTATAAAATATTGTTAAGACAGGTTCAAAAATATACAGAACACAATATACTCCAAATAATCATGAGCTGTATATGTTGACTTGTTTATAACTCATATGGTGAATTCAGATAAGTTTTGCATTACATCATTGAGTTGGTTCATTGGTATTGACATTAAGTGGCTTTGTTCGACACCTGATTGACTTGCACTGTGTTCTCTTCGCTTCAAAGTTACCGCTGTCCGTTTCTGCCACTCGCTTTAGCTTGTTAACTTCATCCGGCTTTCTAACGTAAGATTCAATTTCCGATTCTTGAATTTCATGATTGAGGGGGGAACTGGTTGTTTTGAGATTTTCATAAAACCCTTCTTGTAGCTGTTGTGGGGAACAGCCCAATTCCAATAACTCTTCAATAACCTTGTCTTCCTCGTCAAGCATTGTATCTGTTGCAGCCGAATTGTTTAATCCTGTGCTATCCGTGTTCAGTGTCGAATCTGTGGCGACCGGGCTGTCTATTTCTGAGTTCAAATTGTTTTCTGCGTCAAATAATTTTTCTGTTGCAGCCAAACCATCGTCTTTTCCAGAGGTTGCGCACATTGTTGGACACTGCCGCAGGCGGACGCGCTCCAGTGCATTCTGTATTTTCTCTTTCCGTGTCCGTATTTCGACTTCTCGTTTGTGACACCATTGAGGATTGGCAACCTTTGCAGGGAATTTACCGCACTTCTGCTCGTATTTCAAGATGTCCTTGATATAATAATGGATGTTGGACATTTTCACGTATTTCATGTCGACCCAGGGTATCGCTTGCAGTAACGTCACCATATAGTTCTTTAACGCCCTTATGCACTGTGTGACCGTAATCTCGGAGACCTGCGACATTTTTAAACATAGCTTGGCAATTTCTTGTCGCTGTTTGGTTCCTTTGTTAACAGCAAGGCTTGCCAAGACGCAGATTGCAATAGCCTGCGGTAGCGGGCTGCCATTTAGGAGCAAGGACTCGCTGCAACGCCGGCTTAGTGCCTGTGCCAATTCTTCACACTTCATTGCATGCGGCAAGTCACTACAGGCTGTCGTGATCAGACTTTGGATAGTAATGGGGGTTCGATGTAAACCGAAAGCATCATCAATCTTTTTTGCAACATTACCTAGTTCGAAAACCGTGCAACCGGTCACAACAGCAACTTGCTTTGGGGTGACAGTTAAATCGTTGTTTCGACATATGATATAAATACAGGCTCCAACCAAGCGAATTTTTTTCTGCATGTGTATAAAAGTAGGATATGCTTTGTCCAACAGAAAGTCTTGCGCTTGTTCAGTAATTTCTTTGGAAAGCTGTAGTTTTTCACAAGAACGTCTAAGGGCCGCTTTCAGCTGGTTCTTAGTGTAGGTCGACATACTTGGCCGTAATTTACGCTGCTGATCTCGACTTTCGTAGCCATATTTCGGAGTTTCAAAAAAGCCGTCCAAACTCGTATTTGTATTTTTCGCAAATGCTATTTCATAGCTGTAAACCTGCTCTTCGGAGAAGACAGAGCCACACTGCGGACAGGATTGCACAGTCTCGCAATCGTCAAATAGGTCTTTATCGACCTCTTCTTGGCAAAAGTTACACACGATATAATTGTCAAACTCAGCCATTTTTGCTTTCTTGTTCGTATTTTTGACGTTTCGTACTTCCACTTTGCGCAAAATATTTTCACATTCACTTTTCATCACTTTTTTACATTGCGCAAATTTTCCCTTTTCTTTCAAGATCTTGATTCTTGGAAACTTTTATTTAGAATTACAACTTAATACTAATCTGTTATCAAGCATTTTTATATCAAAGTTATTACTGCGATTCTTCTAATAACCGCCCCCCCCAAAAAAGTTCTCTTAAATAAACCCTTTTCTCTCTACTGCCCCCTCTCTTATAATCCCCCCAATGACATGCCTCCTTTATTTTAGCCTCCCTTACAACCGCTCTTTGCGTGAATTTTAATACAGAGAAATGTATTACCTAGAATGTATTACCCTGCCCAAGGCGTATTTCAACGTATATACTGGGAGGTAATTTGACTCTGTAGGCCCACTAGTTAGTGGCTTAGCCTGTGCCTTAACCTTACACTGAGTGGGGCCAGTGGACCCTAATGCTGCCCCCCCCCTGCCACAAATTCAACTTGCAATTAATTTATGCATGACAATTAATTTATGCAGCTAGTCCCAGGCCTGAGTTTCTTCACGAAAGTTCGCGCGGTCGCCATTTTTTTGGACTTTGAAAGTATTTTGCGCTCGACGTTCGAGCATTCAGAACTAAATTTCTTTTTAAAACAATGGCCTATAGCATCGACCAGGAACCTGATGTTGCAGAGCCGTCGTCAGGGAGGATTTTCGCTGGAAAGTTTAAACGGTAAGCGTTCAAAATTGTCCCGAAATCGTCTGCAAACTGTCACCGATTTTGGGATGATGTGGCAATAATGGAGTCTTCCTGGCTATAGATTAGGTTATTATATATGTATTATTTTTTATAGACATGCTGATCTTAACGAATTGCTTGATAGCAATAAAGACAGAGATAAATTGGAAGCCATGAGACGTATTATTGAGGTTTGTTTTGGTGTTTCTGATTTTATTTTCACATTCGTAATTTAATATTTTTCATATTGCAACCAAAATAATATTCACATGATTTCAGACGGAATGCACGTGACATTCGAAGTTTTGGTTACATACTTGCATTTTCTATAAAGAAACCAGCATTCGAATTACGAAAGAAATACTGTAGTAATATAGTTTTTCTTGTTAAAATACTGCATTTCTATTGAAAATAAGTAGTTAGTTTTTTTAAAAGAACAATGTTGCAAAATGTGTTTACTATACAAAGTGCTAAATATAATGACAATATTTAGCAAATATAATAAGGGATAATGAGATTGATTGTTGGTATAAAATATTTAAAGTTCAGGTGTTATTTTTCGGTTTAGAAATGTTGTAATTTAGTTCAAAAAGTACAAGTATTTATCATATTTTTACTCATAGAGAAGCTTAACATTTGCCATGCTTGAAATCTACCGAAATTTATGTGCTATCATTTTAGCATGCTGTCATTTTAACATATATGACAGGACACAAATTATTTTGTTTTCAGAGCGTGTCGAGTGGTAAAGATGTTTCACAGCTGTTTGCCTCTGTTGTTAAGAACGTTGTTTCTAAGAATCCTGAAGTAAGTTTGGTTGTGTGACAGCATGTTTGGTAATTGGTAATGAAAAATGTGCTATATGAATGTTCTTGGTATTATTGGCTGGATTTCCACTTTCCAAACTTTTTGCTCAATTTCTTTTGAATTGTGACGGTGAAGTAGAGATGATTTATCCGGATGGTCACAATTCAAAAGAAATCAAGCTAGATATTTTGATGATGAGATATTTCATGAATCCTCCCTCCAAACGTTACACACACAGCAAAATCTTAATATTTTTATTTTAGATCAAGAAGTTGGTGTATGTTTACTTAGTTCGATATGCTGAAGAACAACAAGACTTGGCGTTGCTTTCTATAAGTACCTTCCAAAAAGCTCTCAAGGTAAAAACTCGTATTTAACACATGAACATGTTAAGTGCTGGGGCTCTGCCGTTGACAAGTAAAATTGTCTGGTGTTAGACAAAGTAAAATAATTTCATCAACATTTGACGTAAAGTTTAGTTGCTGAACACATTGGGTCATTCCAGAAAATATCCACATCTCCCAACCCCCTTTTGGCATCCTAGTACATTTTATTTTTATTGGGAGTCGACAACCACCCCTCCCCCCAAGATGGTAGAAGTGACCTCCATAGGGAGAGTGGAAATATTTTCTGGAATAACCCATTCACAAATTGAAAAATTAACAGTGATAGTGCTAATACTAAATTACTACTTGTTTGAGTCTACCTCCTGTTGCCGGAGTTAAAACTTATTAATTGTTTTGTCATAGGATCCCAACCAGTTAATCAGAGCAAGTGCTTTGCGTGTGTTGTCAAGTATCCGTGTCTCAATTATTGTGCCTATTATGATGCTGGCCATCAAAGAGGTAATGTATGGTCCCATTATTTATAGGCAGTGAGCTCCATATATAACTGGAGTAAGAATTTGAGTCCAAAAACTAAACCAAAGATGGAGTTATTAGATGTCAGTTTAGGTCCCTTTATATTGTTTAGGTCTATACAGTCTGTGAGGAGTGTGTGAAAATGTCTAAAGTCATGCTACTTTTTATCAAACTATAGTTTTAACTACATTGTAACTTGTTGTTTTTAGGCTGTAACAGATATGTCTCCGTTTGTTAGAAAAACTGCCTGTCACGCCATTCCGAAACTGTATAGGTATGTAAGCTGATGCTAAGTTAAACTTAACTGTCCTTAGCAGCCTCCTTAGCAGTCCAGTAAGTGAGTTTCTTATTTGAGTAATCTGTGAGAAGGAGCAATCTTTATTTATACTAGATAAGAAGCTTTCCTGCCGTTACAGTTGAGATAACTAATGATTCATGTTTCATTTAGTCTTGATCCAGAGCTGAAGGAGCCTTTAGTGGAAGTTATAGAAAAGCTACTGAAGGATAAGACAACTGTAAGTCGTGAACATCTTGCACAAACATGTTTTTAGAACAATGATTTTTGATACTGGTACCTAAAGGATATGAAAATCATCTCACTTCAGAAGAAATGCATCTCATTTCTTAACTTGCAAATGTTCAATTCTACTTACTTGGAAAATAGTCCATTGAACCATTTAATGTTTCCTGATTTGCCCTACTTTATTATTATACCCTGTCTAATGCCAGAAAATTTTACTCATCAAGGAAGAGTGCTGTCACTTATGGGTTAAAAAATTCCCACATAAGATTGTCAGACCACAGAGCAATAGTATTAACTCCCTGTATGCCAGCACCCTCCCCTTGGCAAGTAAAATTGCCTGGCATTAGACAGAGTAAAAGTAGGTAACATCAGGATGCAATGCAACTTAATAGTAAAAATAGCTCAGAAAGGTGTATTAGGGTTGATTGACAAGAGGCCTGAGCAGTCTTGTACTGGATAATTTCCATTAAATATCATTATCAATAATCCTTTTAGCTTGTTTCTGGGAGTGCTGTAATGGCATTTGAAGAGTTGTGCCCAGAACGAATAGATCTTATTCATAAAAATTACCGGAAATTGTGTAATTTATTGGTGGACATTGACGAATGGGGGCAGTCTGCTGTTATCCATATGTTGACAAGATATGCAAGGTCACAGTTTATGGATCCTAACAAAATGGTAAGATGCTTGACCTACAACTTTCGTTTATCATTTGTGTTATATGTTAGCATGCTTTTATTGTGGATTTCTTGTGGGGCCATATCCTTGTTACAGTTCTATCTTCATCACACATGAAAGAAAAATCTATTGTATTCTCTGTAACTGAGAGTGTTTCTCTGAATTATTGAACTGTGATCAAATCAGAGTTGTAGACTCGAGTTATGCAACTTGGACTCAATGCAAGTCAAATATATAATTGTCATAGTAAAAAGAACTGTACAGAAGGCCTAAAAAAATACCTGTGGTTCCGGTTTCATATCTTGAAAAAATTAGGGTTGGTAGGTCGGAAATAATTTTTTTTTAAAATATTTTTTTATGGTTTTGGCAGTTTTGTGCTGGGCGATTTGCAGTAGAATCCTGACATCAATATTAACTAGAGATACGTATTTCCTATGGACGAATTTAGACAATTTGGTTAAAAAAATAGTGTGACAACAGACGCCATTTTGGCACACTGTATGAGCAGCCTGCAACCACCCGGAGAAAATAGGGTCGCACGGTCAATCGCGTTGAAAAAAATAATAGGGTCAGCTGAAAAAATAGGGTCTGTCGGGAACCGGAACCACAGGTATTTTTTTAGGCTGAATGACTTGTGATTTGATTTGGTCACAGACGAAATAACTTGTGCTTTGTCTTGCTGCTCAGAGAGTGAATGACTTGTGGTTTGACTGGACTAAATGACTTGGACTCTGAACCAAACATGCCTTTGTTGTACTGGTTGATTTTCTCATGAATTGTTACTGAATTTGAGAATGTGTATTTTAACATTTCAGGATCTGGAAAATGAGAAGTTCTACCCAGATTCTCAAGACAGTGAGGATGATGATGATGAGGATGACGATGAAGAAGGCGACGAAGAGCAGGCGGACAAAAAGAAACCTTATGTCATGGATCCTGACCATCGCCTGTTGTTGAGGGTCACTAAACCTTTGTTACAAAGCAGAAATGCCACGGTGAGTTTTTGTTTCATTAGACTATCATAGTGCAGAGAATGTGATTGACCGATAATCTCTATACAGCTATTTCAATTAAGGTTGTCTCCCGAGCAAAGCGAAAAAGTCGAATACGAGCGCGAAAGGCTGCTGGGAATCGCTAATTCATTAATTTATTAGCAAATCCCAGAAGCCCTTCACGCTCGTATTCGACTTTTCCGCTTTGCTCGGGGGACAACCTTAATTGAAATAGCTGTATACAGTATATGCACAGGACATGAGAATGAAACCCACCTTAAGAGAATGTTTTTGTAATTTGCATGCACTGTAGGTTGTCATGGCCGTAGCCAGATTGTACCATCATTGTGCCCCTGCTAGTGAAGTTGGTGTCGTAACTAGAGCTCTGGTCAGACTGCTTAAAGGACACAGGTAAACTATTTACGAAACACATGAATTTGGTTAGCAATTACAAAAACAAACAGAAAATAGAGACCAAATTAGATAGTACCGTAACACTGCAGACTAGTAGTGTCTCACTGCCATACGTAGCTCCCAGGATAGGGGACTAGTGATAACCCACATGGGTAATGGTCCATGGTCAGTTAGTATTTTCAATTGAGATAGTTCATGCAGAAATTAACCCCAACTGAATGTGTTGTACTTATTGTTTCTTCCAGGGAAGTTCAATATGTTGTTCTCAGTAATATTGCAACTCTATCAGCGACAAGGAAGGTAATTAAGCATACATACAGGCCACATTTATAAATGTATGTCTTGCTATTTTTTTTCTAATGTAATTAACCCATTGAGCACCAACACTCTCCCCTTGACAAATAAAATCGTCTGGCATTAGACACAGTAAAATAATAAAGTGTGTATTAGTGCACAATGCAACTTAATGGTTAATTATTATTAAATGTTCTTAGGGAATGTTTGAACCGCATCTGAAAAGTTTTTTTGTTCACTCAAATGATTCCACGCATATCAAAACCCTAAAGGTAGGTCCTTTAGTATTCTCTTGACTTTAACAATTAAAAAAATTCATCTTATCAATCTTCGGAAGTGAAGCGAGTATGCTGGTTGAAGAGGAAGTAAGACGCACTCACCCCCTGAATTCTGCCATTTTGAATAGTTGCTTTTTTTAATGCCTCTCATAGCAACGGTTATGCCAAAATCAGGCAAAACCAAGAAATCTGCCTTCTGTAATGTCTATATTATGTGGTATAGTATATAATTTGTTTTTGTAATTTTAGCTTGAAATAATGACGAATATTGCTTCTGAGTCAAATATAACATTATTACTGAGAGAATTTCAGGTCAGTATTCAGAATAAAAGTTGTTTTTAGGATCTTAATATTCAGAACCTTATTTCTTACATATTTTTATTAGACGTACATCAGCAACTCAGACAAGCAATTTGTGGCATCGACGATTCAGGCCATTGGTCGCTGTGCTTCTAACATTCCTGAAGTTACAGATACCTGTTTGACTGGATTAGTGAGATTATTATCCAATAGGGATGGTAAGTGATTGGCCAGAATATACCATTGCTCCTAGACTCTGATGTACCAGTATAAAAGATAACAGATTGGGGCTTTTATTGCTACAATATTTGTAGTATTACTTTCCTATTCTATACTCTGTGACTTATAATAATACGTTTTGGAAGAAAATTATATTGCTATATAGATACGTTTAAAATTTTCTCATCCATAAAATGTTGGTCTCAACATTTTAACCCTATAAAAGTGTTTGATATCCTTAGAAACTGTTGTCGCTGAAAGTGTCGTTATGATCAAGAAACTACTACAATTGAAGGTATTTCTGATTTTCTGGGGTTTTTCAGCTTTCTATTTATGAATATATTCCTGGGGGTTTTCTTCCTCTTGTGGATAAAAAAACACTATTTGGCAAATTGTTTGGAAAAGGGAAATTCTTTCGAAAAGAAAGTTTTACATGTAATACTTACTTTTTTTTACAAAACATTTACTTTCTGTAGCATAAAGACAAATCTCAAATCATAACACAAATGGCAAAGATTTTAAGCAAAATTACAGTAAGTGTTGCTGGTGTTATTATTGTTGTTGTTGTTATTGTTTTTTGCTGTAGTGCTCTTCACATCTTGTTGATGATGTCATGTTGTTGATGATGACATGTTGTTATCGTCGTCGTTGTTGTTGTTGTTGTTGTTACTGCTGCAAGTTGCTTCATTGTAAATATTTTGCAACATTTCAGGTTCCTATGGCCAGAGCAAGTATCTTGTGGTTGGTTGGTGAATACGCTGAACGTGTACCTAAGATTGCACCTGATGTCTTGAGGATGGCTGCAAAATCCTTTGTCAAAGAGGTCAGTCGAGAGAGCTTAACAAACAAACAAACAAACAAACAAACAAACAAACAAACAAACAAACAAACAAACAAACAAACAAACAAACAAACAAACAAACAAACAAACAAACAAACCAGACAAACAAACCAGACAACAAACAAAATATACATATATAGACAAACATGCAGACATACAACGAAAACATTACCTGCTGATAAATTTGTTCCTCCAACAAAGAAACTAAATGATCGTCTTTCATTTCTGTTTTAGGAGGATATAGTGAAGTTACAAATTCTTAATTTAGGCGCCAAACTAATACTGGTGAACCCAACACAGGTCAGTTGCTTAAAGGATGTTTAGAACTGGTATAATTGTCCAGCATAAATAAACTTACATGTAGTTTAGTTTGGGTTCCCTGCAAGTTAATATAGGTTTTCAGAGCTAAGTATTGTTCAAATGTACTGAGATTTAAATGTGACGAGATTTTAAAATGTTCCTGTATAAATTCAAAATGTGCCTGCGAGCTACACGCATGTTAATGATGCCTTCTTCACTTCAGTGTCTGTATTAGAGAGTTTCAATAGTATACTTCTCTTTTAAAAAATTATTTTATTTTTACAGACACAGCAACTCTGTCAGTACGTGTTAAATCTTGCCAAGTATGATCAAAGTTATGACATCAGAGATAGAGCTCGTTTCCTACGACCTATCGTCTTCCCTGGGGAGAAGGTAAGCATTATCAGCCTAGTTTCCATTCGGTCGACTCGTGGCCATATCAATAGATCGTTTAGCAAAGAGGACGCGACGTCAAAGACGACGTAAAAATGGCGTGATATGCACATCTATGGAAGTACCGATGCTATTTTTACGCCATTTTCACGTCGTCTTTGACGTCGCGTCGTCTTTGCTAAACCTTTCTATATATGATCGATGTTATATATTAGGGACAGGGGCATAGCGACCGGGGGTGTAGGGGATGTATCTGTTATTGACCAATTGTTATTAACTCAACAGACTTGTTACAAATTGTTCCAACAACTTGTTGTCGTCCTGCAATTCAACAACCTCTATGAAAATGTTGTAGCGACTTGATAAAATGACAACACTGTTACAAATTGTCGACAAGCTTGCTATACAAGCCACCTGTTGCGAACACATCCTGTTAATAAGTTCTTTGTATGTTTGCATGGCGATAAAATATATAATAGTTTTGTTTGTGGAAACACCACGTAAATGGAATGTAAATGTTTGTGGAAACACCACGTAAACATTGTGCAGTAATAAATTTACGTGGTGTTTCCACAAACAAAACTATTATACATCCTGTTAAATTGACAATATTTGCATGCACCTCGCAGTGGAAAAGATAGGTTTGGTCATGACAGCCGCGTGCGAGGGGAAAGGAGGGACTGCCGATCACACAACACGTAAAGAAACGAAATATTTCGTTTTGGACATATTTCGATGTGTTGTCGGCAGTCCCTCCTTTCTCCTGAGGGACTGCTCGCGGTCTACTCTCAAAATGCTGTCTTTTCCGTTCTTAGACGTTGTTGGCTGTCTGCTTAGAACAGTTAGAAGTTCGAAGGCAACATGAAAATTTCGACCCTCGCCGCATGGTATGCCTTTATACTTGTGCACTGAAATAAACGCCACGCACTTTAAAGAAACATTGTGTATTAAAGGCTTAAATCGAAGGCGAGCCATTGAGCAATGCTTAATCTACTACGAGAACATAGCCAGAAATAGCCTAAAATTTTACACTTTTATTAACAAGGGGAAAAACTATGAACTACCGTTGTAAAGATAGTAGAAAAGCGAATTGAAACTGTTTTGGAGACGGCAGCGACTGTCTTTTCATGGTGGCCTCATGCTACACACATAAAAACGCACAAGTTGTAACAAGTCTGTTCACAAGCTGTCAACAAGTTGTGTTCGCACTGCTTGTTCCCAGTTTGTTTTAACAAGTTTGAAACAAGCTGTTGACAACTTGTAACAAGCTTGATGGCATTATCAGCCTTGTTACAAGACTGTGCTAACAAGTTTGTCACAGCCATGATATAACAAAGATGTTACAAGGTTGTCAACTTGTCAACACAAGGTTGTAACAATATTGTTAAATCAAGCATGTAACGGACTTGTCAGAACAACCTTGCAACAGGTCTGATAATTTCGACAAGTTTGTTACAAGTGGTCAACAAGTTGTTCCAAACCCGTTGACAACTTGTGACAAGCAGTGGGAATACATCTTGTAGACGGCTTGTTGGCAGATTTGTTACAAGATGTGAGATTTTTACGTGTGTAGATTAAACATTGCTTCAGTTCGCTTATATAGTCAATTTAACACAGACGCAAATATGGAAATCGTGAGAATTTTTTCTGTATTTTAGACTGGCCAGCTTGTCAAGCACTCGAAGAAGATTTTATTGGCATCAAAACCACCGCCTGTTTTAGAATCAGTTTTTAAAGGTATGAAACTTTACCCAAGAAATTGAATATTTTTAAATGTTCGTCCTTACTGGACCTCTCGGGAGAATAATTTGGAATTGTTAGAGCTATCCAGTATAAATAAAGTCAGTTTAGTTTTTGTTTCCGCCTGTAGTAACACTGGATCAATTAGGGATGACCTTTACTGGACCTCTAGGAAGAACGGTTTAGAACTGATAGAGCTATTCATTGATGGTGAATGTTAATGGTGATGATGATTATGGTTATGATGTTGATGGTGGTAATGTTGTTGATGGTGATGTTTATCAATGATGATGGTGATAGTGATGATCATTATGGTGATAATGATGATCATTATGGTGATGATGTAGGCTGGATCGATATACCGGATATATCCGATATACCGGTATTTGTTGACTTTGGGGGGGACTTTGGGGGGGGGGGGGC